CCTTGATCTACTATGTTTTTCTTTGCTGTCTTATATCCTCCGAATTAGTTTAGGCTCACTGCTGATGCCGAATACGATGCCCGCGAAACGTCTGTGAATGTACGATATCCACGGTCCAAATTTGGAAATTATCATGCATACTATGGACCCCGGACAAGGTACGTTCTTCTAGGTCTTCCTGATAATACCGCCAAGCTACGAAAACAAGGTCAAACAACTCCTATAGAACGAAAGGAGACCGCGACCATACTAAAGGCCACACCATTTTCTTCATAGCCTTGATTGTATATGTGCTTTCGATAACCCGAATGCTAATATGTTTTATAGGTATTTGATTGAATGCCACAATTGGATTGTCAGTACATGCGGGGATCCCATTTATTAAGAACCCTCAGGTATATTATATTCTTGTCCATATTTATGCCAATTTCGAATAACTATGTTGTCATCTAAGAAGATTTAAATATTTTATTTCTGAGAAAGCATAGACATATACTTGCAACTTTGAAACTCACAGTCCCACCCAGTCACAACGGGTTATTTCATTAATATTTGAATTTATGCCTAAAATGGGGGATAGAAACAGGCGACATTCCGGTTCGGAAAATACAAGATGTCATATATCGAAGGCCTTCATGTAGCTAAGATCTATTGGTTGATTATGTGAATGCGCATAAACCTAAGCCCACAGAGGGGCAAACAAGAGGACCAACCAGAAGCTGGATTCATGGTTCGCAAATCCGCTTGCTGCTTCAGTCGAACACAATCAGTTTTCAAGGCGGCAAACTCAAGCATCAAATATTTGAGAGTAGCGCTGTCAGCCGCCAAATTTGACTCGTCTCGAGCCGAATCCAACCGCTGAGCCGCCTCGCCAGTGAGGCCTGATGCTGAAATAGACGCTGAAGCAGATGCTAGGCCCGAAGCTGAAGCAGTAGGAGAGGCAGAAACTGATACATTCTGGCAACGCCGCCTACATAAACCATCTAAAGCCTCATTGAGACAGGAAAGGCGTACCATCAAGTCAATCTGTTGCAGTTGAGAGGGACCGGATATGCCACCAACCTTGATAGTGTCAGATCCATTCGAGACCTGGCGATGATGACCTGCTAGTGATAAATGACAATATTTGATATCGATTACCAGTTCAATTGTAATAAATACAAATATGATACTCCATACTGGATATCATAGCTCCAAATTAAAAAAATTTATAAAAATCTTTTCACTTAACAGGCCTATAACGAAAAAGCGGCAATCATTAGAACTCGAATCAAAGTAAAAAGAGCAAAATGAAAGAAATAAACAAATATTCTGAGACGTTTAAAACAAAATAATGTTCACCAGCTTCGCCAATTTTTCTTCACTCAGATTCCATTACCTTTTCAAAATGAGGGCATAAAATGTAATGGTAGAGTATAGAAAAACCTAATCTTACGGAGGAGGTTATATATAATTTATCTGACTGCTTCGAAAAAATGACAGAAAGGATAAAAATAGGTAATATGTAAGGGAAATGAAATCCGTACCAATTCCCTATAAAAACCACAGAGATTTCAGGATTTAGATAATAGACTGAATAACACAGTACAGTACAGCATCATGGATTATGCACCGCAAGGGATTCGCTAATTTCATAGGGAAAAGCTGCTAAGATGACCAGTTTAACCAAAGATTTTGTCAACAAATGATCAAGAAAAAAATAATATGACAGTATTTAAATATGAAGAATGGATAGTTACTACAAGCAAATCCATAATATAATAGCTGTGCATCATGTATGGCGATTCGAATCAAATATATACCGAGAACTAATTATAAATATGTAAAGAAAATTGTTGGGTAGACTTTCATTTAGTATGAAAGTGCATAATGATGGGATTCATAGGGTGATCCCACCAGAAGATGACGGCATATTTTCGTTGTACTACAGCCGTTTATCTTTAATAGGGTGTTCACAGTGATGCAGTTTACGAGACAACTTCCCTCGTTTCGGGCGAAAACAGGATAAGCTTCATATATATATATATATATTTACTTATTTAAAAATTCTAAGGGCTTTTGAACTCAGGAGATATGAAGTATGAGGATGTTTAAGATGAGTCTTGAAATATATAAGAGACCTCGAGATATGCAGATGATTAAGTGGAAGGACTTTGTACTGGCTGATTTCTGAAAGTAGGAAAAAATATGTCTTGGTATCTCAAATATAATACTGAAACGGAATGTAAAATAATCCTCTAGCTTCCGTATCTGAACTTTTTTTTATGTGAAGCAAATCTAATAGATTTAAAGAATTCCAATGACTCGTATTTGCCTTTGCAATCGAACCAACCCAACACTAGATGAGAGTGAAAAGGCGTTGATTCGCTTAAGTTTTTGGAACAGTTTTTCTGCATTGAGTATTTTGGAAATATATGTAGTAAATTCAATTTTCATAAAAGTGACAAAACGGTAAAGAAGGAAAAACATAATTTAGTCAAGTATAATAGCTCCGAAATAGATTAATAAACGAATGTACAGATGGCAAATAAAACGGGACGCATGACTTGAAAATTATTGAGCCTCATACACATAAAGATCGGGCAGAATAAAATAAATGACGGACTTCGGCTGGTACATCTTAGTTAACTCGAGTTATATTTCAATAAACTAAGAGGAAAACTCAGCATAGGAAAAATAAAAAAGTGTGGATTGTTTTCAGATAGGAGCTTTGGTGCATACTTGTCTTATTCGACCAAAAAATGAACTCCATCAATATTTTGCGTATATATCAAGCAGAAAGTGATACCACTGTGTGATCGTATTATTCGTAAATGCGAAGGCTCACATAAATGATTTTGGATTCCTATAGGCCCAAATTATTTATAATATTTTCGAGTTATACTTCAGATTTGACAAGTCTATATAAGTGCAATAATATAGCGTAATGTCATAGTGTAATATCGCCGTCATTTTCGAGGCTGACTATAAGAAAACCACGCTTATCAGCCCCATAAAAGGTCCTTTGGCAAATTAAAAGCAAAATTTTATACCACATCATGATTCGGAAGAGGACATATAATAAATATGATGTGGCTGAGCAATAGGATTATCTGAGGAAATTAAATAACAGACAGACGAAAAACGATTGATGAATTTCCCACCATAAATGAAGAAAAATACATAATTAGGAGAAAAAGGATAATTATTTTCACAGATTAGCCAAGCTTAGTTTGAACAGCAATCTGCACTTCGTCTACTTTCCACAAAATAAGAAAGGAATCTTTAACTAAAACATGAACTGAATCAGTCATGCAAGAAAGTTTGTGGCCCGGCAGAAGTAGTACTTCAGCCTGCAAAGTGTTATTTACAACAAGTCCTTGATAAGCCCTTCAACTTTTATTATATATATATATATATATATATATGAATAAATGAATATGAGACATAATATTAAGACAATTGAATCGCAGCCAAAAAGTAAAGTTGGCCCAGTTTAATATATGCAAATAATAATACCCTCTAAAAAAGCAGCTAACAATAAAATAATAGGCGGTACAAACGAAGTTTAAAGGAGTAAATATAAAGTAAATGCAGTGAAGTATGAAGAGAAAACTTTGAAACTGAGAGCAAGAGCAAATATGTAGTTATTCCGAATCAGGATGAAATACGGATTGGTTACTTAGTGGTTGGGCCGCCATAGTGGTCGGGAACGATGGCTGGGTGGGCGTTGCCTAATGATTAGGCCTGGTAACTTAAATGACTGCATTGGGTGAACGAGTCAAGAGACGGAAGAATCATAGCTGAGTCAGACCGTCCACTATCGCTATCGTAAAGACAAGAAAAGACCACTTTTAGAACAATGCGCATGGAGGACAAAAAAACCCGGCTGTACATTCCACCAAAACCTGCTACTTGTAGGTTAGGTTTGACCTCGTTTTCACAACTTGGTCAGAGCTACCAGACTAAGTAACATTCGCACGCTCTATCTTGCATTGCCCGATTGTGCACACAGCACGGAGGCACATGAATAAGCCAATTAATATCAAAATTGAGAAGGAAGAGAATTTGCACAATCAATAGTCTAATGCAAGTTGCCAGGGTTAATTTATATTGATAGACTGGGGAGGATGACTTTCAGAGTGGACAGGTAAAAAATGCTATGCACGCTGAGGAATGTTTACCCAAGGTTATCACCCAGAGAAGACCATTGGGGTTGAGTCGATAAATCCCCTAGGTATGGAAATCATAAAACAAAGTGAATAAAAAACAATGCATGGCCAAATTTTTTCACTTACTCAACCTAAAGACAATTTAGTATAAATGAAAATGAGCTAAGACAATAAAATCGAAATACAAAATAATCGACCCTTGATCAATTGAATCAAACCGGAGGAACTTTAAGCTAGGCTGCCTGAGAATGTTGAAAGTAAAAGTTCTAGTCCTCCTAGTCTGCATAAGATGAATAAAGAATGATAGCTGAATTTTCCGACATTGCAACCATCCCTTACGAAGTCATTAAATACCACTGTTTTTGGGGTTCAACTATCAAGCCTTCGTCACTTAATGCGACCTAGAGTGACTAGAAGTCTTAATAAAGATCCACTTGTATCCTCGAAGCCTGATCGCAAAGGCTTAGAAAGTATTCTAACATATGATACTGTTCATTAAAAAATAAGTTTCGGAAAACATGTTTTTAGAGTAATGCCCAATTTTGGAAATGTCCGTATTATTGACGCAGACTAGTAATAGAAATTGGTTAAGTGGCCATTGAGAATTCTCAAACAGTAAAAAGTGTTCGAAGGTATAAAGACCAAGATGGTGTATAGAAGTTGTTTGACCTTGTTTTCGCAACTTGGTCATATTGGTAGGAAGAGTGATAGGAACGCACCTTGTCCTGAGTCCATTGTATGCATAATTATTTCCGAAG